CTCCACAATGTGACATTTTAATTGTAGATTAGATGGTTTTGTAAATACATTTATAAAAGTAACGCGACGGATCAACACTGAAATTTAGTTTGATGCAGGAATGTAGGTGGTCTTGGAGGCAAGGTGATCAAAATTGTCCTTTCTGGCTTCATACCTAGAAATGGAGGATGTGTTGCTTTTAACTACTGCCTTAAGAAGCGCAAGTTGCACGGCCAATCTGAAAGGAAGCTTCCAGCACTGCAAGTCTACGTGCTGCCACTGTACTACAAGGCTAGTTCCTTCATGCATTTACAAGTTTCCCAGTTTTAAGATGTATGTTACATTTAAGACAGATATTCCTGTGAGCCAATTACCAGTTTGCTTGGTGGCCTCCTCCCAGCCACAGCAATACAGCTGAACTCATCTACACAGCCCAAACTAATTTTTCCATGCTAGCAGTTATTTTCTAACACTCTTACTGCTTTTCCAGCCCCACTCCTTTTCTTGACAAAAATACATGTTTTTCAATACCACCAGGATTCCAGAGAAAGTCCGGAGTATTAGCTTTCCTTTGGAATCAGCATTTCTTACCAGGAAGATGGCTGAGCTTTGTGATCTACGCTCATCATGTCACCGGGGTCCCGTCTCGGTGTCTGACAGGCTGCTTTTGGTCACAGCCCAGCTTTTCCATCAACACAGAAAAGCACGTGTCCTTGAACATGAGATTTCTCCAAACAAGGCTGCTGTTGGCAAGACTCTGATTTACATTAAGACAAACTTCCATAAAAGCAAGCTCAAAAATAAAACTATGAACAAACTGAGCAGCTTCAGCTTCATATCTGTTCCACAGCTCCATCAGGAAAATATTTTGGATTACACCAAGAAAACAGGCATTAAAAATAGTTTAGAAATACATGTTTTTCTGGCTCCCACACCCTTGCCCTGCTCCTCTTCCCCAAAGAAGAGGCTAAGAGATACAAGAATCAAGCCATTCTTTTCCTAAGCAGGAGGATTTAACTTTGCTTAATACTACTACTCAGCACTACTTAGCCGTAGCCCCAGGGCAACACGTAAGTATTGAGTGCAAAGAACTGTATCTCTCTTGCAAAGCCTTCCATTCTGTCTTTCCCACTTTGCTGCTTTTCTGCAGACAGAGCAGCACAATGCAGTGTGAGATGAAGACCTGTAACTCTCCTGCCACAGCCACTTACCATCTAAATCAGATGTTTGCCTCTGTAGACATTTCAAAACCAAGTCTACAGACTGGCATTATTTTACCTAGAAACTAAACTACATAACTGAGCTGGCCACTCATTAAGCCAGTCACATACAAAGCCTTCCTCCTAAGGCTGCTGCCTCCTCTTTTCAGCTTTTAATTAAAAATGTAACCTTACACAGGAACAGATCCTCCACTCAAAGGCAAAAAGGGCATCACTGAGCTCAGTGAGAATGGGACACTGGATTTGCTGCTGCATCTACTGAAAAGGCAAGCACACTTGACACAGCCGAATTCCTCAAATACAGATTAATACAGACTTATATCACCTGAATTTGGCCCATAATATCTAGGCTTAAATTAGCAGCTTCAGAGAAAGACAGAAAAATACAAAACAAAAGGGCAACGCAGCAATGATGTTTCAAAGCTTAGATTTTTACAACCCAGCAGCAGGTATGTTGGGATGCTGCAGGCAATCCGACTTCCCCTTTGGGCAGGATGCAGGATGCGTGCCTCTGCATGGGAGTGGGCTAGTGCCTTAGGGATGCCCGACATTCATAAAGCTATTTGGCAGGCGATCATTCTTCCTTCTTGCCCAGTGGGGAAGAAAACCAAAGCTCTCAATTTGTCCATGCCCACACACACTGGCATGACTCCTGCTGGCTTCCAGGTAAGCGGAACGGTTTCCCTGTGTAGGTCCCAGCTACTCTTGGCATGGCACAGATCCCCTCCTCTCTCCTCATCCAGTGAAACTGGCTGCAGTCCGAGTGCTTTCCTCTCTTTCCTTGTGTTGTTCCACACCAGAGCGGCAGGCAAAGGCCGTATCCTCCTGGACTCAGTGCGGTATTGCAATAAGAATCTGTTTCCCAGCATCTACAACCCTCATCTGAAGCCTCTTTAAGTATCTCTTATTACACTGGACTTAAACGGCTAAGTATGCAGACAATTACATGCCACGTCCATACCAAATGCAGGTCAGTGGTTTGACCAAGGTGAGGACAGGAAACCATGAACTAATACCAGAATGCTGGGGAGAAGAAAGCTGCTCTCTGAGGAAATACTACCTCTGTATTTCTTTCTACCTTCCTGTTTCTCTCTCGTTTTTTTTTTTTTTTTTAATAATGCTGCCCATTACAGTAGTAGTCATGGATCCTCCACTGAGAATAGGTTGGCAAATCAAATGCAGCTCAGTGGTTTGACCAAGGTGAGGACAGGGACAAAACGAGGGCAGGAAACCATGAACTAATACCAGAATGCTGGGGAGAAGAAAGCTGCTCTCTGAGGAAATACTACCTCTGTATTTCTTTCTACCTTCCTGTTTCTCTCTCGTTTTTTTTTTTTTTTTTTAATAATGCTGCCCATTACAGTAGTAGTCATGGATCCTCCACTGAGAATAGGTTGGCAAATGAGTGGTTTTTACCTGTATTCCTCTATACTCCTGGGCAGTCAGCCATGAGAACAAAAGAAATCACTCATTTCCATTAGTGGCTGGCAATGAGACTGCATCCCCTTCTTTTGGATTTAGACTTCACTCCAGCAATCTAGTCATTTGTGACTGCCAGGGCTTAATTACTGCAGTAACATGAAACTGCAAAACTTACAAAACCGAAGTACATAAGGCAGCAGCCGATTGCTGGGCTGCAGGCACACCCAAGGGTGCGCCGTCCCAAAGCTCTGCTCCTGCCAGGGGGGGAAAGAACCCTCTGGGGCCGCGGCGGTGGCGTGGCCTGTGTGCGGCAGTGCCAGCGTTCGGGTCAGGAACACACAACCCCTCGCTCTCCAGCATAATCTTCTTAGGCACGGAGAGAAATGACACTCCTCACACCAATCTTCAAAAGCTTATTGAATGTTTGGATGACTTCCTAAATGGCACGTCCCAGCCAGCCAAATACTCAAACCTGTCAGAAGAGCTGGAGAGTCATGTTTCCAGCAAGTTAAATGGAAGTTTTGGGAAGAATGCTGTGAGCTTCATGATCTGATTCAGACAGACCTACTTTAAAAAAACCCAACCACCACCACCACAAAAACGCAGGGTGCAGAGGCAAGCAGTGCAGACACCGAGGGGACGTGCCGAGGATGCAGCGGGTTTGAAAAGGAACGGGATAGAAGGAATACAGAGAACACTGCTGCATAAAGCAAGGGCACATCTGCAACTGCACTGCTCACTTCTGGTCATCCTCGCTTGAGAGGAATACCCGTGAAATGAAAAGAATTCTGGGTGATGGAAGTTACTTCTCTGGGAAATTTCCATTTTATAAAGATTGAAAAAATAAGGTTGATTAACTTGAGGGGAAAACGAATAAAAGGAGACATGATACAGGAATATGAAAATTGCTGTAGAGAATTACGCTGGGCACCAATTGCTAATTTATTCTTGTAATTCACAAGGAAGTACTCAACAAAATTGAAGTTTAAAATAGATAAAAAAGAGTGTGCATAATTAAACTACACCTAACTAACCTGCAAAAATCACTGCTAAAAACATGACAGGAGACAGGAGTGTTGGAGTACTACAAAAAGATGGCTATTTACCCAGGAGAGTAAGAATATCCACAGTCGGTCAGGAAATACATACGGGACACACTGCTGGAAAGCAGGCTTCTCTTAGAAAAGCCAGTTATTGCACAGGACGAATTTCCAAAACGATGGCCGACACAAATATCGTTTAAAGGCAGTAACTTAACTACAGACACATCCCTTTGGTTTAGAAACCATGTACTTTAAAAATGCCTACAAACATCCAACAATGTCTTGTGAGACAGCCTTTATATATTGGTTTCCAAAAGTAATATATTCTTTGTATTTTCAACTGGAATTGGACACGGCATTACATATTTATCAATCAATCTCTCCAGTGACATCTTTGAATGTAAATAGCTCAGTGGAAAAAGAAAAAGAAGCAAAAAGAAACTATTCACTGATTTCCTAAATGCCAGCTCTACTTCACAGCGAAGAATCTCTTCTTGCTTGTAAATAGCTATTTTTGCATTGCCTTTACGATTTACCTTGCTTGTACATCCAAGAAGTGGACTGGGCAACCCCTCTAAGGTCTTTCCCAGCCCTCTGATTCTAAAGGGGGGATATTTTTCTATTTTTGCTTTCCTCCCATGCTTCCCACTATCTCTTCTAGCATCCTTCTCACTCCCCTTTCTGACTTGCTAAATCTTACACTCTGCTATTAGAACTCCCATAGAAATGGGACTGAAATCTCTGAAATGCTTCCTTTTTTTTCATGCCCCACTGGTTTCAGACTAGAATTATTCTTCATTGAGTTGATAAGGATTAAAAATTAAAAAAAGCCCTCAGAGAATTCACACTCATTTCCACAACGTTCAGTTAAAGCACAGAGATGTTCCGCTGGAATAGGACTGCTAGTCAGACGGTCTTTGCAGCAACAGCGGGACTTCAGCAGCTGTGGCTGCTGTAGCAGAGGCTTTCCACAGCGGTACTCTGTCAATGCCAGCCAGGATTATATCACTATAAACTCACTCATTTATGCCCTGCTACGACCTATTATAACTCTTGCAGAACCCGCTTCCTCAATGTCATGTTCTCTACCTGTGGATCATGACTCTTGCTGACACGTTCAGTGACAGACCCTTTTTTTTAAAAAAAAAAAAAATTCAAAAGTCCAAATTAATAGTGCAGTTATAAAGATGGCACTAAATCAGCAGCAAAAGGTGAACAAGACAGAACTGCAAAATAATCTCCCATGTTGGAGCCGGACATCAGCTGTGGGCTGATTTCGCTACCCATCGGAGGGAGGGTGAATCAGAGGGGGTGTGTGCGAGGCTCGGTGCTGTACCTGGGTAGGGATGCATACTGCCTTTCCATCCCCTCGTAGTGGAGACTGTATGAGCTCCCATCTGGACCTTTTCCAGGCACCTGTGGAGAGGACAGTAATTAGAGAGGAAGATCAATTATGCAGCCCAGCTACTAACAATGCATCTCAAAACGATAAGCAGAGAACACATGATGCTGCAACATGCCAAAATCAACAAAAGAAAGGCAGGGGCTCAAAGAAGCTCCAAATCCCATACATAATCTTATCACTGCTAACAAGAAAGGCTTCCGTATCAAAGAACTGTTTAGAACAGGTACAATCTTCAGAGCCTTTTCCTCGTCTGCGTGCTAGTCAGAATACTCTCTCTCCTTCCCTGGCTGGTCTTCCTCCTAGAATTCAGTAACATAAGGACGTAATCTAATTAAGCACACCCCTTCTGATCCCAGTGGCACAACTACTTGAACCAAAGCTAGCATCTTAGTACCGAGGTTGCTGGTTTTTCTCCACTTGTGTGTTTTGTTCAAGTATAAACCACGATATAAACAGGCTTTGCTTTCATTCTTAACACAAATCCAGAAACTTTCCCTAATGCCACTGCAAAGCTAAGCATCCAGCTGGGAGTTAAGTGCATTTATCATGCTCTGGTGCTATTTCAAAAGTGAAGCATTAGTGCACTCAGTCAAAATGCCAGCTCACGACTTGGTTTGTTTTCAAGATGGCAACCGGAGCTGGCCGGAGAGCGCAGTTCTATCAGGAAGGCTCCAACTGGAGTACAAAATGGTGAACTTCAATGCTTTTAGCACACAGGAGCTCTCCCAATTTCACTCACTCAATGCCTGCTGATGGCCCAAAGTGTTAAGAGCCCTGTTAAAATGGAGCTATTAGTCTTTTCCTCCATAAATGCAGGAGGCTCTGCCTGCCTTCACTGTTTCCTACATTAGTATGTATTCCTATTCCGGTGCTGCTAGAATCAGCAGTTTTATAAAGCAATATACTAAGAGGCCATTTAAAATCCCCTTCTCTTTTTACAGATTAATAGCAGAAAGGAAGATTTAAAGCCTTTTCAAACATTTTTAACAATTCATTAAAAAGAGAGGAATAAATCACACCAAGCTTTCGGCAAATGCCTGATCATAAAAAGAGAAAACAAACAAAAATTAACATGTTTTTCACATTCTACAGGTTAAAGTACATTTCTGTCAGTCCTGTAATTTATGCACAATACACCATTTTCACTGAAGAGATGTATAAGCTCCTACAATGGGAAAGGTTGTGCACTCAGGTGTAGTAAGTCTTATCTACCTTTACATAGCATTTCTGTATACAATTTCTTGTGGACCCATTACCTAAGCCAAATCCAATGCAAAGAGAGGCACTATCCCTTGCACTACTAGGCAAGCTGAGGAATTATTCTAGACAAATACTGTTATGCACCTTGCCACTCACTGAACATCCAAGATACTCATAAGTGAAAAAAATTATTTAGCACAGGCCTCTTGCTAACTCCCCTTTATCTGACTCAACACAGAAAGGAGTCCGCACGGAACCGACAGCCACAAGAAATAACCACCTCTGATTTGAAATGACCCATGCTTTAGCAGTGTCTGACTTTGGACGAGCAAAAAATAACAATAATTGCCCTACATTTCAAAAAGAGGGCAGAAGGTTAATGGATCATTCATTCATTTTTTTCCACCAGAAAAAGTAACGTGTAGAGAGAATTTCTAAAGATAGAGTCACTTAGGCTGAGAGTCACAGACACTTTGGCTGTTCTTGCACTGCTAATTTGATCAGGTTGATAATTTCCCTTAATTCACCAGGTATGCCGGTGAGAGAAGAGCCTCCAGATTTCTGCTGTTTTACGAAAAAGAATGAGGGGAAAAGAAATGAATGTATAATTTGGTTGACTCCACACAAAAGCCACATAATATACAGTCTACCTCCATAGCCATAGATAGACTGTTAATTATGTGCAGCGGCAGGATGTTTATGAGCTGAAGGAGGCACCTGGTAACTCCGTGCATTCGCAACCTCGTGCAAGTTTCCTGGTGATCACTCTCACACCTAGCAGGAGTAACGACAGCCAGCCAACGTGCAAAAACACCAACAGATTTGGAATTGTGCCAGCATTGAGCAGCAATCCCAAAACTTCTATCAGTCACTAGAAAGTAAAAAATATTTACATTGCAATGCCTTTTTGCAGCCTGAAACCACCCCTTTTCCAATGGTTTCCTACAGACCAAATAGAAGGCAATACCCCCCACCAGGTCTGTTTGTATATATGATTTGAGAGACAGTTGCCATAGAAACCCCCCGGCGATGGATACACAATTTTGCTAATTTGGATCCATTGAGCGGCTGAGTCTTCACACCCTATATAAAACCCCCGACGCACTGGAAAAGCATGCTCTGGCTCTGCATGGCTAATTAAAGACTCAGCCATTTCTTCTCCCTTCCCTTCTCCATCTGTCCACGCGACAGTAAGAACGTATCATCATTCAGCCACCAGCAAAACAATGCCTGGAATAAAATACTACCCCAAAGAAAAGAGAAATTGCGAAAAAGGAAACACCTCCTTTGTAGAAGTTATTTATGTTTCAGAGAGAGTCAAAGCAAAGGGTTCCTTCCTGTCTTGTACAGCAAAGCTAAAAATCGGCATGAAAGGTACTAATTAGCAAGATCAAAATATTCCAGCTTCTGCTCCTTCCCAGAAACGGGACATGTGCAGCTGGCCCACAGTCCAGGTGCGGAAGTTTTAACTGCATAGTTAATAATCACAAAATATTTAGGCGAGCAAACAGTAACCTTAATAAAAAAAGGATTAAAAACTTTAAGTCCTATCAAAGCCAAATGGACGCTGACCACAAGATGACCAGCGAGGCATGGGAGCCGATGGAAGGTGCATTACTTGGCCAAGTCCGTATTGGAGGCGGCTGGAAGAGCTTTTGAGACCAACACCCCAATCAGTAAAGAGAGAATCTGACAGCAGTTGAAATACACGTTTCGTGAATGTATGGTAATGCACAACAGAAAGAACGATCCAAAACATGCTCCTGTATTTTTAGGGTTTAAATTAACAACATCATGTTAAATAAGAGCCATCATTATGAAAAGATCATCTCTTAGTCTAGAGCAGCCTCAACTAACAAGCAAAACATGAATATGCAAAAATAACGGGGTAGAGATAAACACAGAAACAGCCATCATCCCATCAGTGCAATTAAAAGAGCAGCATGCTTAAATTGAGGAAAGGAAATGCTATCTTTATCAAACAACAACAACAAACAATTCACGAAACTTAACTGTCGCAAAGTATTGGTATGGCCAAGGCCTTTGTAGAATGGAAAATTAATAAACTGGATACACATATGAATCAGAACAACTAGCATCAGGTTAGCAGAAGACAGTAAAGCCTTTGACAAATTGAGGAGATGTAAAGCCTTGAAGAGTCAGCCATTCCCTGAAAGGGAGAGCAGGAAGAAACCTCTGCACCAGCAGGTATTTCTCCTCATCGCCCCCCCTTTGGGAATCCCAATGAATTCTCTGAAGCTCATAGCAGTGGCCACACTCCGAGACAAGGTGCCAGACAAATGGGCAAGACATTGCATCCATACAGCTCAATGCTCTTATGGTCTGGATTCTCCCTGTGCCAGAAAGGCATTGTTTCTACATAAGTAGTAACATTTTTGTTGTTCAAGTCTTTTTTTTAAAAAACAATAATTTCCATTAGCAAACAAGATTTCTGCGACAGAAATGTGTCACTTCAGAAAAACCCCTATGACACCTCTGCATCTTTAATTAAACCCCTGCCCGTCCCCAGTGGTGGAACCAGGCTGGGGGAGAAGCAGAGCGAAGAGTGATGTGGGCAGTGCACGCTGCTCCCCTCTCCCTAAGTCCACAGCCTTCAGCAGGACCAACGTGAAGGGCCAAAAGGGCAGAGAGGAACGAGTGCAGACCGGGGCTCCCCCCACTTCCCTGGACAACTGGAATCCAAGTTTGTTTCAAGACAGAACACTGTAGAAAGAGTCATAATTTCACCTTTCACATGCAGATCCAAAACAGACAGAAAGGCAAAACAACTGGAAAGAAAAAGTGAAAACAAAAGCTGCCCAGGCGTCAGTGCAAGCTACGTCCCTGGCAAACATGGTAACTGCGGGGCACTTTGAGTTTTCTAACACACAGAATTGATAAGCTAGCAGCAAATCTCTCTAACCTGCAAATTCTCCCTAGGAAAACTTCCCAGAAAAAAAAATAAAAAAGGTGATGTGAACATGCACTTGTAGATCAAGTCAGAAACAAGCATCTTACAGCTTTCAAATATTTGTAAATAAATTGTAAGGCCTAAGTAGAGTATACCTGCAGGCAGGTATCTTGAAATAAGTCTACGATTTGCCTACAGGAAAATGCTGGGGCTGCAGGAGAACAATTCTTTAAGAGCAGAGAAAGGATTTACTTCATCCTGAAGCTTGAGACTACTTTGAACACTGCGCAGGAAAGTGCAAGAGGCCATGTTTTTTCCTGGGAGATGCTGCATTTCATTCCTCCTCGCCTGCCTTACGCTGCCTTCCTCCTGGAGCATTTGTTAAAGGCTAAAAGACTAGCTGCTAGCAGGAAAGCCTCCCTTGCCCCTTTCATATGGATCAAGGTGTTTGGGGTTGGACAGCCATTGCGGTATGAACAATAACAACCAGAACAATCTTTTTTAAAGTTTAAGCTTCACGAAGCCAGAATCAACTTTTTCTCGTGTATTTGCACGCAGCTCGAGGTGGGAGCTACCACACTGCAAATGGAAGCCAGCAGCAACTCCTCGCACCTGGCAGTGGGGACACATTTGGCAGGACAGTGTGTTTTCACCTGGGGCTCTAACTCCTCTCGCAAATCCCCACCTGAGCTACCCGAGCTCCCTGCTCCAGGTCCGTCCCGAGTGAAGCCGGCACGCTGAAGACCCAAGACCTTGGGTACTGCTCATAAGGAAAAGAGCGATGCAGAGCCATTTTCCAGGTGGTTGTCTCAGAAAGCTGCCGTCACCGTTCCCTCTCCCGCGGTTATTTTATTTAGAGCTGCATACAGAAAACTTGGACCATCAGTTTGTTAAAAATTT